GCGGTGGTTATAATGGAGGAAGGGGGTGGGGGTGGGAGGGGACGGCAAATATATGCCTTGTCTTTTTGAAAAATTGTGTCGACATGGGAGGATAGTTGTGGGATGGAAATCAGATTATGTTTGATGTGGGGTGTCACAATGGCTCGGCAGAGTGGGATGGAGGCCGGGTGGGCCGGGTTGGTGCGTGGATGCAGGGTCACGGGTCGCTGATGAGATATGGGGGAGGGGGAGCCGTAGGCGTTTAGGGTGGAGCCATAGGAAGGGGGCATGCGGGGGGGTGCAGTACGGAGGTGTGTGGGGAACGCAGCAGAGTCAAGTACGTACGATGTCAGGGGTGACTGCGGGGTGCGGTCGGGATCGGTATTCCACTTGTTGGGGTGGTATTGGTGCTGTGGGGACGTGGGGCGAGTCGGGGCTTGTTGCCAGTTGGCGTGTGTGGGGCGGATCGGGGGTTGTGGCCATTTGGCGTTGGTGGAGGGGCGTGGACGGTTGAGGGCTTGTCGTTGAAGTGCACTGTGGTGAACATCTTCTCGCATTTTTGAAATGCATTCGTCCGTGTCTTGTGATGGGGTGCCGTGGTAGGAGCACCATTTGCCGCGCCAGTGGTTGGGGCGGCGGGCGATGCGGTTGCCGCGGCGAGGGTTGTACTGGCGCCGCGGGCGGGGTTGAGGTGGGTGTCCTTGGTGGGCAAGTTGGGGTGTTTGCCTTGACAGATAGTTTTCTGCGTGGAGAAGGTGTGCTTCTATTTGTTCGATGGGGAGGAGGCTGGATTGGGCATGGAGGGTGAGAGCGATCGGGTTGTAATCCGGGTGGTCACGTAAGCCGTCCAGGAGAAACTGTGCGGCGGTGCCTTTGTCCTGTATGCCAAGATAGTTGACGGCACGCATCCGGGTCCGTATGTTCTTGTGGAGTGTAAGGTATTCGAGCATAGGGTTGCCGGGGTGCAGGGTTGTCTCGCGAGCGAGGGCTTTCAGCAGGTAGGGAGCATTGCTGGGGTTTGCGGCGGTAATCTCATGGAGTCTGTTGCATAAATCGTGAAGAGAGAGAAGGAGGTCGTCGTCAGAGAGGAGGGATCGAACTTCTTCGGATAGACTGTGGAAGATAAGGGCAAGAGCAAAGCGTTTCTGGCGTGTGTGGGATCGGATGTCTTCTGCGTCAGTGGGGAGGAGAGGGTTGTTGTCCAGGTGGCCGTCGCAATTGTCGATGGAGGCTACGAGGATCAGGTTGTTGTGCCAATAGTTGAAATTGGTGAGTGTCAGTTGAGTGACGGAAATACGGGGACCGTCAGGTGTGGGCGAGGATGGCATGGTGGGTGGATGATTGGTGGTAGTTGGGGACGGGAGGGGTAGTAGGTCAGGGATAGGGGGGAGTCTCAGGAGAAGAAATGGTTGGTGTAAGGGATGTGCGGATCGACCGTGGGCCGGTTTTGGCGGTGTGTGATGTGATGATCGGCCGTGGGCCGGTTGGGGGCAGGATGGGGTAAGAGGGTGGCTGTGAGCCGGTTAGTTGCGGGGGGATGAAGGGGGAATGGAGAGGGTGTACAGTGGGAGCGGGGAAAAAGAAAAAAGAAGGGCTTATAACCTGTGGTAGGGACTCAAGACCTGGGGTCGTCTTTACTGGGGGCATGAGCGACGACGGTGTTAAGTACGGTGGGAGTGCTATGTACACGTGTAAGATACGACAAGGGAGTGGCACAAAACTGTACAAGTATGGGGTACCCAAAACTGAACAGTCACCCCAAAAGTTGAACAAGCGAAAAATCTGCCCTTTTTATTCCAAAATAAAAGATTGAGCACCAGAAATGGACATATCTCCTGACTTCAGGTCCAACAAATGGCATAAACGCGCTGTGAAAAATAAAATCAAATCTGACCACGAGCTTTGCCGCCCAAAGTTCGATTGGATACTGTCGTATCTTACACGTGTACATAGCACTCCTACCGTACTTAACACCGTCGTCGCTCATGCCCCCAGGAAAGTCGACCCCAAGGTCTTGAGTCTCTCCTACAGATACTATACATTCCAGTTCATCTCAGCACTGAAGCAATGAAGTCGTTCGTGGCAGATAGAATTTGAGATACAACTTTTTTTGAATTTTTTTGATACTTACTACGCGTTGACCAATAAAACTGTTGTTCAAGTTTCGAGTGACATTGGGGTCGGGATCGACGACGCTAGCGCTCCCACGTGTTCGGGAATTCTACGTCTACTACTATCCACCATTAAAAAAAGCCACCCCGACCTGGACGGTCAAGGCCATCAGCTTTCTAATGGAAAAAAACCCGACTGAATCGGACAATTTTAAATTTACTTATGGCCTGCCATCTCAGTTCTGTTCAACTTCAGTGGACCGGTACTTGTACAGTACCGTTCGGTACTGTATGGGCAGTGTCACGGAATATGCCCATGAGAGGGGCACTGGACGAGGAGGTACAATCAATGCACTTGGCCATTCCTTTTCTGTACTTGAAAACAGGGCGGAGTCCCTGCTGTGAGGAAGGGGTTCCCTTTCCTCTGCGGTTTCCGAAGCGCGCTCGCACAGCAAGTTTGAAGGCCATCATTTTCAAGAGCGAAAGCAAAGTTTCGTGGCAACAAGTGCTGATGTTCGATTGCTCGATGGGATAGAAATGCTCGGTGCTCACAGTGATCATAGTGTGGGACGTTTCGTGTCGGAGTGCAGTACAACTGCTCCGTCGTGCCAATAGCCTTGTGGTAACGGATTCCTCGAAGAAATGATGCATTAATACTCTTTCCAGCAATAAATTATATGCCTCTCGAATAATCCGCTTCATAGGTATACAGTACCAAGTAGTCGGTGCTAGTTTGAGCGTATATTGTGAAGATGGGTTTCGCGTTTATAAAGTTCTAGGAGAAAATGGGACGCACGCAAAGACAATCTAACATTGACCAGGTATGCTTCACAAGAAGTGTTTAGCTTATAGAATCCTCTCTCAAGTACACCATTCTGCAGTGCAGAAGAATAAAAACTCTACGAAACCATGCAATAGTAAACCTATCTCGGTCTTCATTCAAATAGCCTCTCTCGGACATTGACATTACGCCCGTGTTTCGAGGTCTATGGTGAGAAACCCAATTTGACGTTGCTACTGGGGCCATCTTTTTCTTGAAGCTATTCAGACTTTCCCTGCTTCTTTTCTCCATGACGACCAGCCGCGTTGTGAGTCATACAGCAGCGTGACACCGAAGGAGAGGTTCTTGTGACATTGCTTTTGCAATTGCTGCCAGTGAGGAAGGGGCTCGCCGAAAGAAACCTTGCTGTTCACAGCCTCTAGATGCCATCCATTTGTCGAAGGTGCGACTTTTATGGGCCTTGACATGTAACATACAGCGGGGCTTGTGCCGTGATATCGAGACTCGATGGAGTTCTTTAAAGAAGCACTACAATGCAGTACACGTGAATGGCATTCTAGCCCAATGGAGTCTCGCTTATCCAGTGCGATGGAGAGAAGCAATTATTCAGCACAAAGTGTCTTCGCTCAATGTTCCTTGTGAAGCGAGAGAAAAATGACTTATGGCAATGAGAAATGACTTATCGTGGGTCTCATGGGCAAGCATCACTACTTATGGGGACAGGGTTGTTCTGGGGATGAATTGGTACAGTAATTCTCTATAGAAACGTGCAGAGCTACTTACACACTTCAGTAACCTGTCGAACGTAGGAGGTAACCATACAAGTGTGTAGCCGCTGTCTTCTTCTACAACAGTGCGGTAACATCGCGGATATTGCTTAGACCGCTGGCCCCCCACAGAATGGGCTTATTAATCGCTCTACCGTTTCGAGCGAGGTGGCAAACTTGAACTTGCCGATATGATCTAGAAATATAGCTAGGAGGTGCTCAACCCGTGCCACTGAAAGGGACGTGTGGGTTGCTTGTGAGGGACAACGTTTTTCACTCTTTGAAAGGATTATATCTTGATCCCTATTACCCTTGCAATTGAAGTAGTGGGAGCAGCACCTCTGACTTGTTGCAGGGGTTTCGACTGAGAAGTCTCGGAAGATATGAAAAGACTTCGCAGACGCCTTCGTCCTCATCAAGGGATATAAAGGAGACTCAAACGACCACTACATCCTCCTATTCTCGCATCAGCAAAGCAATACATTCCAACGGAAGTCCGCCAACCGCCTTTGTTATAATTTACTGAATCATCAGGATTCGTCGATATGGACTTTGATAGAGTAGTTTACTTCCTCTTTGCCACGGCGATAATTGCTCTCTTCTCGGCAGCACAGGCTGGGAGCAGTGTTTGCAGTGGCACCCAAGGTGAAAATGAGTACAGGTGTGTAGATTGGTCCTTCGGCTCTGAACTGATGGCCTTCAAACAGTATCAATACAAGCAACAGACGGGTCAGGATGTGTTATTTGGTGTTGGATCGTACGGTGCTCAAAACAATTTGAACATTGGAAAATGCTACAAGTTCAACCTCAATCCACCTACAAAGCCAATCATCGCACAGGTAACCAACTGGGGGGCTGAAATTAGTACCAACCAGTTCGATATGGTAAGTTGATCGTTTCTCATACTGGTGGCAAAGATGTTGAGCATTTCTGATGAATCTGACGTATTTTATTCCCCTGGCTCCAATATTCTCTGAGAACGCAGCAAATGGGTGGGGGAGGGTTCGGTGTCTGGAATGCATGCTCAGGACCGACCGATAAAACGGCCAGCGATAATCGCCCATGCAACACGAATGACTATCTGGATATTGCAGTTAGACCGCAGTTCGTTAGCGGCAAGTCTGAGTGGGGCCGGAGATGCGGAGGCCATATCTACCGAACAGGTTGCAGATCACTACCGAAATGGCCGGCCACTCTCGAATATAGGCCAAGGCCTGCAGGATCTTCCACAAATGAGCCCAATCTGCGCACTCTTTGCAAACGTTCGTTTGACTGGGGTGCGAGAATTAACAACGGGAACAAGCAGATCACAGGAGGTCAACGCGTTCCTTGCCCTCAGCAGTTTGTTGAGATTACCAACCTGAAGCGCAGAGATGATAGTAGATATGAGCAGATGCCTCGTGGAACGCTCACCAGTACCATGGATTGCTGCTCGCCTGCATCAGCATACCCGAGCGTTACTATGGGCAACAAACTCTTACCGAATCGCAACAGGATCCGTCCTTGTACAAGGGATGGCTACACTCGCGTGTAGACTTGTGCTCTCCTGCATGCCGAGCAACATGTAGGGGTTGTCTCCTGGCTACGAGTGCAGACACGCTCCGAGTGCAGATATGTGCCCCGAGGCTTGCCTAGGACATTGTGATAAAAGAGAGTGCCCCCTGGCCAGGAGACAGGTGGAGAGGGATGTGCACCGTATGTATAAAATGACGGACCGCAAGGACAGACTGTCCGCATTACAGTCTGTCACACGCGGTACTTAGACCCACGAGACGGCGACGACGAGTAAAGACAGAACCATGAAGATTACGATTCATCAGTCCGCATAAAACTTGCTTCTCCGTCTTGGTTGCTCATTTTGTTGTTTTTGTTGTTGTTTTTCCGCTTTTTTCTATTTATTTCTTCTCGTACTCTGCTACCCCTCTTCCGAAGTGCGCCTGTCATACCTCCGGTGACGCGCCCCGTGCTAACCATCTTAAAACTAGAAACGACGATCGGCTGAAAAAAAAACGGAGCATGACTGTCATACTTGTACATACTGTACCTCAGCGATACCTCTACTCGGCACAAGCCGGCATAAACACACGGTTAAAACAAACACGGCTTCTCCGCTCTGAGAAATTGCAAATCATAGAGCTGCTCTTGCTTAAATTCTACCGGGGGTTCCAGTCCCCACTGCGGGCGATGATGTAAGAAGGCTAACCGGATAGAAAACGCCGCCGACCATGCGTTGGGCGTGAGCAAGCAAAACGGCAGAGTGGCAGCAGGTGCAGTGAAGTCTTGTTGCAGTCTTCAATAAACTAGTCTCTGTACATTTCTCTCTCTCTATCAAAACAAATAAACGCTTTACTTCTATGCTGCTACCCTACCTACGCTGCAACAATCGTCTTTCGCCAGTTCCAATTCCTCCCCTCCTTCCTCGTTCGCCTCTCCGGCGTCTTCCCCCCAGTCTTCCTACAGCTCTGCCCCGTCTTTTTCTCCACATACGCGCTCTTCGTTGCCACGGTCTCCTTTCTCACGCGCCCTTCCGCAATGGCTGCATTCCTGCGCGCCTGTCCGCCCTTACCGAACCGCACGTCCTTCGCGTACGCCGCAACCTTCCGCAGTGTCGCGTTGGCCCGCGCGATCTCTCCGCGCAACACCCGCGCCACGAACGGCGGCAGCTCCCCGCGCAGCACCGCCTTGATCTGGAAGTGCGCCAGCAAGTCCACGCTGCTTCGCAACGGAGACGTCACTTTTAAGTAATGCGACAGCCCCAGCCCGCTGTGCCGCTGCGCGTGCAACGTCACTTCGGAGGGCTGCAGCTTGTTTCCGTCACGCCGCTGCCCGCGGAAGGGGACGGCGATGCCTTTGCGATGCGCGAACCGCGCCGCCACTTCCCCAGCCACTAGGCTCAGCTCCGACACCAGATGCGTCGAATCAAAGCACAGTCCCTCACGCGCCTTGCGCTTGGCCCTGCCGAGGTCCGCCCCCATCTCTCGCCGGTATTGATGCCGGACTAGCGCGAGACGATGTAGCGAGAGCAGGTCTTCGCTCAAGCGGTTGGTGATAGAGTGGTCGGCAATCGCGTACGACATGCGTCTCGGCAAAGAAATGAGGCTCGCCTCCACCGAAATGTCGCCTAGTGCTCCGTCCTCAAGGACGCGGCACCCGAAGGAAAGGGCCTTTCCCCCGGTCTTGGGGCCACAGAGGGAAACGAAGTCTTCAGTCAGACGCGAGGGAAACATGTCGATATTCGTAGCCGTTGTGAACCCGGTGTACACGGTAGAGACTTTCCGCAATGCTTCGAGGACGATTGGATCATTGGCCGGGTTTTGGAAGAAACGGGTCGGATCGGCGATGTGCAGGTACATCTTCCCTGTAGACTTGTCGTAAGACATCGCGTCATCGACGACATCGGTATTCCGACCGTCAATCGCAAAGGAGCGAAGATGACGCAAGTCACGGCGGTTCTGGCGATCCGTGTCCGGCACGTGATCTCCCGTTTGAAGGAGCTCAAGGAGCTGTTGATCGGCTGCTTGGCATGTTTCGGCGTGTCCAGCGAGCCCGTGTTTCTCTAACAATTTATATGCAAGAGTTTGCTTGGGTAGAGAGTTAGTCACGATTGATTGGTGTCCAGGCATTGTAATATATTGCGCTTGTGTATAGCCGGATAAAATCAGGATTTCTTTTCCGTTAAACGAATAGTTCAAAGTTCGAGAGTTAATGATGTCTATGCTTAGGCCTTCTGAAATCAGAGAACGGCCTCGCTGCTTATGTACTTGTGAGCCAATTCACAAACCAGCTGCATATGGAACCGGAAACACGAACGGGACCGTTGTCTAAAATGGCAAAGCGCATACTTCTGCGGTCTTAAACGTTGCGTGTTTGAATCATAAAGCCATGAACCTTCGATCCAGAAGGATTTTGCAAGCACACACTGCTGCAACCCTGCCTTAGGAATGATCCGTTCCAAGATGATTTATTTTCTCATTGGGTGCTAATGAATGATTTTGGTTTTCTTACTTCATCAAATGGTCGCAGAGGTATTGTAATGACCGGGACTTTCACCAACCATTTTCCCATTTTCGTACATCGCACTACTTTATTTATGACTGCTTTATTTTTAGAGTCACATTCATCCGCATTATTCCACTTCTCCTTCTCTTTTGTTTATCAAGTTACCTGCCACAATTAATTTACGAACCAGTTCCTCAAGTTACTTCATCCGGCAAGCCATCCTTTCCATAGGATGATATACCACATAGTTGTACCACACAGTTCCGATTAGGCATATACTTCCGAAGATTTGTGAGCAGTAACTCTGAGCATTTTTTGTTAGAGAAGCGTTTCAAGCCCTTTTTGTCCTTGTAATATTTGTCAACTTAAATGCGCATTCAAGTGATATCAGCGAATAAATCCAATTTCTCTAATGCTCTTCAACTACAACAACATAAATTCCATTAACCAGTTCCATTATCAGTGTAGTATCGTTTTTCCTTCGGCAGCAAAGCAGAAATAATTTGTGCTCCTGGGCTAGTTTAGGCTGAGAATAACTTGTTGACCTTTTGGACTGCGTTTCTAACCATCCATTCTTCCAGTCTCTCTTCTATCTCTTTTGGAATTTTGTGATGATTGTATATGGGAAGTCTTGCCTCCTGCTCGGAAAAGATAGGGCACTTCGCGCAAAAGAAAAACCCGCAGTAGCACTGCTCGGTCCCTATCTGTACATTGTCAGATTTAGGAGTAAATCCAGAAATATCTGTAGTGGTGGAGAGTGCAATAGCAACGGCAACGATGCATCTGCTTAAAAAATATTCATCAAGAAAAATGTTAGAATCACCTCTTTGGTTGCGAAAATCAGAGAGAATTTGAAAAATGCCGACTTACGTCGAGTATTGCTCGTTTACGAATAGCCATCCGCCAGGGCTGTAAGTCGTTGACCAGAACGCGTAATAAAGAAAGGCTTCATTCTCTTTCAGTACATTGCGCACGGAATTGTTGATCGAATGGACCGCTGTCTGCTTTTCTCGCACAGCTTGTGCAATAATTTCCAAGCGTGCCTCTCGCGGAATTGCAAGCAGGAGCTTATGCAAATCCTCTTGAAGATTGCTAGCAGAAACTGCTTGATGGCACACTGCCTCTGGATATATGAGATATTCTTCAAACTTCCAGTCGGTACTTCTGCGCTGGTCGCTGTCGAGTTTCGGAAGTGCTTGCGAAGCAAACTGGCGAATGTGATTAGTGGGAACTACAGCAGCGCGCCATTGGATAGTTGAAACCGCCAACAGGCGATACATAATGAAAACTGCAAGAATGCATCGTTTAGACGTGATATATGGGCGAAGAACTTGAAACACCAGCTTGGAAGACTCATTGAAGCGTGACGAAAAGGATTCGATTTTTTGTGGAATTGAAACCCGCGAACGACGCATGTCGAGAATCTTGGGAACGAGGAAGCTGGGACTGCATGAAACAGTGATGGGAGGGGGCTGGCATGATTCGGCACAGTAGAAAGGAGCAGATTCTCGAAGCGGATAGGCCTGCTCGGGTTCTTGGCGCATGGATGATGTCACTAACAGCCGCTCACAGAAAATCTTCGAATTCGAATTATTCATAATAAGAAGTAAACCGTTTCCGCGACCTCTGTCTACCGTATATGCCGAGGTTGCTCATTTATGAAAGACGCGCACTCGAAATGGATTGACTTTATTTAAGCCCTGTCTTTAAAAAGACAGGGCGGTGTCCTAGCACTGCTAGGCTAGCAGTGATGCACCAGCCTTACATCCTACTGTAAATGGCAAGGGCCTCCGTCTGACCGACTTACTACAGCAACGTCTTTGCGATCATACTATTCTGGTGCCAACCCACATCCCCCAACATCTTGGCACCATCGGCCAACAACCGAGCAGTCGGATGCAATTTATGTGTTGTTTTTTGGTTGGGCGGGAGTCACCTCAGCGGCTTCAGCAGCGCAAGGAGGAGAGGCCGTTGTCCTGTGCGAATTATCACGCGCGAATTATCGACGCTGCTCACGCTCGGGTTGCTGGCGCCGAGCGCGCGTGGAACGGCCAATGCCGCTGTCGGAGCGCGCGGCGACGGAGCGGAGGTGAGTGTTGAAGTTGTTGTCCTCTTCATGTGTGTGTGTGTTTGTGTGTGCGTAATTTTACCTGATGTTTGCTTGCTGTAGAAGAAGACACTGCGAACACGTGGATACGTCTTCCGTGAAAAGCAGCTCCACCAATCCTGTCGACAAACAGCTGTAAGACAAGAGCTGCGATGACCTACAGGCGTCATGGGATTGGTTGTGACCGGCTGTACACTTGTGCATTCACGAGAGGTCAAGGCTTCTCCATCCTATCCGGCGCGACACCAATTCAACAGGCGCGACACTCCGCGCGCTAGAGGTACTTATGTTATGCTAGAGAGAGTAGAGAGAGAGGCAGACAAACAGAAGATCAGAAACATCAATAAAGCTGCCATTTGCACTCAAGCTTTGCTCCTTGTCCGCACAAGGAGCCCAATTGTCTCAACAACAGCGTAGATCTCGTCAGCAACCCTGCACGAGGCAAGCGCTAACGCAAATTACCGACAAATCCCAGGGCTTGTTGATGACGACGCTGTGCAGTGAAAATCTCTCCACGAGGTAGACGCTGGCTGACCAATCAAAGCCCGAAGTTACAATTTACTGGACACGTGTATTGGCTGTTTCGTCCAATTAGCGTCCACTAACAATCTAATAACAGCAAGGCATAATAAAGTACTCAGTATGCAGTCAGTGATATTACCCAACATCCTGTGAAAAGATCGATGTCAGAACAAATTCCCATCGTCTTCTCTTCGGTCGCTTATGTCTTCTTTCGACCGTGCCGTACGCCACATGAAGGAAACAGGCTTACCCGCCCTTCACAGTTAGACAGCCCACCCATTCATGCTACTCTTGCCCAACACGATAGTCATCGCACATGATGCCTGCATTTCTTCCAAAACCAAGAAACAGCTTTCCTCTCGCCTCTGCATCCCCTATGCTCTTGAAAGGCGCGTATGCATGCACCATCGCTTACAATACATCTTCTTCGCTCGCCAGCACTTGAAAAAATCGCTGCAGCACAACTGTGCCCTCTTGCTCAACTCTTGCCCGTGAACTCGACGATTGTCGAAATACAACCCGCGTGGTAATTGCCGATCGATTTTTTGGCGCTCCATGCACATCTGCAGTTTTCACACGCATAACCTTGGGCCATTTGTTTCGCTGGGGACGTGGGGAAGTGTGGAGCAGAAGAAGGCGCTCTCAGCGACGGTCACGGAGTGGCGGATGGTGTGGATGAGACATGTCAGGGTGGGTTCGAAGCGAGTGAGGGCGCAGGTGATGCCGCAGTTATCGGTAGGGCTGGTGGAGGACGGCGTGGCGCGGGCGTCATTAAGGGGCGGGTGCCAGTTGAATAGAACAGACCCTCACAGAAAATGCGCGCTGCTTCATCAAAAAACTTTTCTTGGAAGACGTTTCCTGGACCACATTTCTACAAACGTCGAGCGGGAGGGCTTTCAGCTCGTCAAGGACTGTTGTGTGGTATGTTGAAGGAACAAGTGGAGATGGACCGTAGCGCAAGGCCCGTCAAAATCGAGCATGCGAAAGCGGCGGAAACCTTGGACGGGGCAGGATGTGCAGAAGGACTTTTGGGGAGTGATTCGCCGGGAGCAGACGTCTGTGAGGGAGGTGGCGCGGTAATCAGGGTCGAGGACGGCGGCGCAGATGTCTGAGCAGTGGCGGAGAGGGAGGTGGCGGCAGCGGAGGCTGCGGGATGCGCAGACGTCGAAGAGACGGACGTTGCCGTGCAAGGGGAGCGCGAGGGTTGAAGTTAAGAGGGAAAATAGGGAGAGCAGCAGCAGCAGCGGCATGGGAGGGACGGTATTTGAGATAGACCTTTGTGAAAACCCGATCTGTTTTCCTGTCTGCCATGGTTTTCGCTTCCTTTCCGCCGTAGGTCATCAAAGCAGTAACAATGTCTATCCTCGTTGGTCGAGGCTGTCGTTGCAGGGGCATTTCGAGAAGATTGCTCGACGGTTTGGCTGTTATTTTTGTCGGAGCGGAATGAGGAGCTCAATGATCTTTGGCTGTGCTGCACAAAGTTATGTAGCTGTGTAGCTGTTTATATTCGGGGAAGTGTCCCGCTATTACTTGTCTCGCAGCTGCGTATTGAGTGCCAACTAAATCACTACTGTTGCCGTCGGCCTGAAATGACCTCGCGTTGAACGCCAGATCATCGCAGGTCGACAGGTCATCGTGCTGATGACCTGGCAGTACGAGGTCGTCAGCATGATGTTGGGCAACGGTAGTATCTAATGCTTGGGAATTGTTTGTACCATTGCGTATTTTGCCGCAAGAAGCCCGTAATTCAAGGTACACTGCCAACCCATTTATAAGTATATAGAGTATCCACAACGTCAATATCGGATTTGGAAAGCAATAGGCATTGCAATACGACATTCAGAGCAATACATATTGCAATATAAACAGGAGACTGCAATAGGCATTGCAATACTTGAAAAGACTTGCAATTCAGTATTTATATTATATGTTGCAAAAATATTGCAATAGCAATTTATTGCATGGGAGCCCTGCTCGCAGGACCCATCACTCATATTTTGCATCTTCACTACAGACTGAAGTCTAATCAAGCATTTCTGTTATTATTTTGGCTCAAATTTCGTGCCACCCGCAGAAGGATAGCACAATATCGGAGCTGGCACTAACAAAGATAGCACTATATCGTGACCCCCCCCCCCCCCCTGTATTGGCCGTTTCCAATTCATGGCCGCAATGCTCCCTGATCTCTTGTGGCAGCGAGTTGCAGGGAGTGCATTCGTGCAGACCTTTTTACATGTGTACACGACTGAAGCGAATAGTGCAGCTCGCCACAAGGATAGAATGGTTCTCTCAGTCGAATCGAAAGGGCGATGTGTTTCGTCTTCTTGACAGCCTGAGGGGGGCCGTTTGGAGAGGACCGCTTTTAGAAACTTGTACTTGTCTATCTTTCGCTCTTTCGCGGTTGTTTCGGCGGCATCTGTGGCAGATCCTGTCGCGCTTTGATCCATTGATGGACTTTGCGCAGATGAAGCGATAGGGGCGTCCATGGCGCGCGCATATCGATACGGTTCGTGCAGTATGAGACTCGTTTGTGCTGATGAAAAGAACGGAAGACCCACTTCGTTTTCCTTCAAGACGGGTCGATCCGGCACTGCTGTGATCAGGCGGATGTGAAACTCGTGGCGAACTCACATGCCCCCAGTTTTCGGTATGCCTTTTGCCAAACGCGTTGTTTGAAAATTTTTGTTCAGAAAATCCGAGCAAACTCGCCGCCAAAACACGTGTTTTCGTGATGTTACGGACAACCTTATTAAATGCGTTTATTTCTTACGTACCCGTTTTGTTTTGGAATTTTTCTTGCGTGCCCCTCACTCCAGAACGACTTTCCGGTGGAGGCACACAGTGTCTGGGGCTTCGCAGGTCGTAGCATACATACTGCCCAACTCGACCACATGTAGAGCAACGCGACTTTCGTTGAGGCGCTGCGACCCCACTTTCCACAAGCCGTTGTTTGCCCTGCGGTCTGGATGGGCGTTCACGATGTATGAGCACTCCTGGGAGGGGCACTGTATACGCAGGCGCCCAGAGTCGGACTTTTTTACCTTGTGAGATCGGCCCACGGTGGCGCACATGGCCAAGGATGCCATCGAGATGCTGTGCTTGTCTGGGAACGTGCTCCCTTTGATCAAACTCATTTTTGCGACGCCCTCTTCACCTCTTCACGTATTCAATCTAGCGCTCCTAAAAAATGGGGCTCACAAAAAGGGGTACGTAAGGAAAATTCCAAAATAAAAGGGGTATGTAAGAAAAATTCTCAGAGAATAATCATAAATCCATTTGAATTGGATCACAGATCCACTCCCATCGAGACCGTGGAGGCAGGAGCTTCATGGGTCTCGTGCACCACCTTGAGGGATAGTGTGAGGCACAGCCAGACCCGTGAGACTTCCACGACTTCCTTTCACCATCGCAGTGTCATCGTCGTGACTTCATAAGAGGCAGAAGTGGAGAAGGCGGAGACGATTGCGAGACCTTATTGGTAAACCTCAATCTCGCAGTGTAGACTGAGGTTGATACCAACGGTCAAGGTCGGCGGTTCTGTGCCCAGTCCTGACGAATGTGATACGCGAACTGGTGGCTTGCTACCTCTTGCAATAGCAAGACACACACTTAAGAGGTGTGATTGCACACGTTAACTAGCGAGTTACTCAAACAGGCAGAGAGAGTAGAGTATTGTTGGCGGGCTGCGCAACTGAGCGCAGGACACGGTGAAAGACAAATTCCAACGAGTGGTTCCTACCTGGCGCTGAGCGAGTGATGCGATCATCATGATCGTCATTCGTCGACGACGTGAGCGCCACGCCCCTCTGCGATGTTTAACCTAACCTTGCTGGCCCGCACACGCGCACGTTTCTTCTCCTTGTCCGTGCGCACAGAGCACGTAGCAAAGGTGGTTTGATGGACATGCAAGATCACTAGATCTATGGGTCCCACGAGCGCCGGTCCAGATGCTTGCCCCGCAAATGCCAAATGCGACGGCATGCACGCAAACTCCGGCCGGAGCGAAGGAGCCAAACGCGGGGTTTGTACAAAATTTGACGCCGATCCAACGTTGTCGTCAGGCAGGGACACTATGCGAGCACCAGATACGCATACTTGCGAGGCAATCTCGCTCGATACGCGCACGTATAAATGCAGCCCGAGCATGGGGCGAATCCACAGAACGCAGGAAGCGGCGCGATTGTTGGCATCGGCGTCCAACAAGAGGGGGCGGGAGAAAAACTTTTGGCTGAGAATGTATGATACCGCCGAATCTCGGACCGTCTTCTCCCCGCCTCTCCGCGATATAAATCCAACCTACAACCTCCCATCTTCCGTCTCTCCCCTCCTGTCTCCCACCTCTTCCATCTCCTCCCACCCACGATGCACCCTCCGCAAACAATTCGCCCCCTCTCAACAGTCCTGCGTGCGCACCCTTCGTTCACCCCAAATATCCGTCGTTCGCCCCTCCTTCTCGACAACGCCCCCTTCACACGCATCCACCACCTCGTCGTGTGCACGCCTAAGACTCCCCTCTATGACTTACCTGCTATCGCCGAGCCACAAGGCGCTATTGCCTTAGTGCTAAATTCGCGCGCCCAAATCGCCCTTCTGCGCCACTGGCGCCCTGTCCCGCCGACCATCCCGGGCTCCGCCCAGTTTGACGACCCCCTCTCCGTTCCCCACGGCTTCTACTCCACAGAGCTCCCCCGTGGCTTCCCCCAGCCGCGTGAGTCCCCCGCCGCTACGGCGCGCAGGGAGGTGCAGGAGGAGCTCGGTGTGTCCGTGACGAGCGTGTGCCAGCTCGGCTGGTGCAATTTTAACACCGCCTACATGCTTACGGACTTGCCCGTCTTCGCCGTGCTTGCGGACGAACGCGTGCCAGCGGCCGATCAGAGAGAGGAAAGCGAGATCATTGACGCCGTCGAGTGGGTCGATGTTGATGAGCTCAGAGAGCGCGTCGTGGCCGGGGGGATTCGATGCGCGCTCACGCTCGCCGCGCTGGCCTACGCCTTCGCCGACTGGAAGAGGATTGAAGCCTTTGTCAAGGGGCAAAAGTAAACGCTTGTGTCGAAAAGAACCGGAAGGCGGACGAGGTCTCCGGCAAAGTGGTTCGGCTCCATACCTCCCAGTAGGACTGGCGGTGGATAAATAATCGTTATGAGAAACGCCTGATCCATTGTGCAATGTATGAAAAGTCGATAACTCGCACAAAACAGTGCCCACAACAGGACAGGGACGAGACGGAGAACCATGCAGAGTTGTCGGTTCCCCTCTCACGCATCACCGCCGGCATCATGGAAGACCCTGAGTTCCTCGGCTTCGGGGCATTTGAGACTACCGCTTTCCTCACAGCCGTGCTGGTCGCCAGCTACTCGCTCATCTCCAACCCGACGGGCCGTCAAAGCAGCTCGGAATCTGCAGAGTACCAGGTGTACGCCGGTTGGCGCTTCGCCCTCATCGTCCTCTTTCTGCAACTCAGTCTCATGCTCTTCGTCATCGTCCAACAGAGCTTCAAGCCCGAAGTCCCTGCTAACGCCAAGGCATGGCTCATCGCTCTCATGGTCGCCCCCTGGGCCCCCGTCGCTGGTAAAGTCCGCGACACGGTCACCTCGTTCTACCGCGTCCGCCGCCTCATGAAGAGCAGGCTCACCCGCAACGAGCTTGCCGCCATCATTCGGGACCGCTTCAAGTTTGGCCAGCGCGGAATCGCCCTGCCCTCCATCATCTTCCACGCCACTGGCGGCGACACGCCCGCCCATCCGATTGCCGCTCTCCGTGCAAATAGCTACTTTGCGGTCCACGAGGACGCGCTTCGAGAACAGGCAGAGGCCACTGCCCAGACCGACGAACCATGTTCCCTGGACCTCGGGGCCCTATGGGCTATGAACCAGAGCCGTCAACCGACCTCCATCTCCCGCACGCGTCTCTTTCTCTGGCGCGGCGTCTCTGCCTGCGACTTGCTCGCCCGTGCTTGGACGGAGCCGCGCTTCTGTCTTGACGCGGATCCGATGCCGGGGATCAAGTCGGACATGGAGCGCGCGCTGTATCTGGATGTGGCCGACCTGTTACAACAGGGCAACACTGTGAGTGATGAGCTGATGGAGCGGGGTTTGCGGCGCTTCTGCGAGCGGTGCCGCCTCTCGGTACGCGGGGCTGTGGAGGCGTTTCTGGAGAGCAGCGAAAGGGGGCATACCGATCTGCGGGCGGGGAAGTGGCTGAAGAATATCGGGATGAATTGGAGGGGGCAGTTTGAACGCGTGATCGACGTGATGTGGGAGGCAGCATTTATGGATGCCAAGGGTTTCAAGCTGGAAATATCACAGAAGGATGATGTACAGGATGAGAGTCCGGATTATGACGACCGGGCGAAAGTGACGACGACCAAGACGTTTGCGTTGCTGTTTCTAATCATTCGGAGCTTGTTGAAGGCCAACGGTGAGCATGGGGCTTACGAGACGGTGGCGGCGATCGTGAGGGACGGGCCGTTTACCAGGGTGTGGTGGGAGCGGTATTGGGCGCGGCTGGAAGAGATTGTGAGGGCGAAGCGAGTCAAGGGTGGTCCAGCTGATCTGGAAAAGCCGGTGGTGTGCGTGCAGATGCGGGCGGACTTCAAGGCAGCGCTGAGAGATTTGGTGGACGACGATGTTAAGGGGATCGTGGAAGAGTTTTTGCAGCATGCAGATGACAGCCTCTGTGGTGATACGGAGTGCTACTTGAATCCGGCAAAGATCCTCGTGCAGGAGTATCGAAATGGGAAAGTTGTACCGAGGGCACGGACTGTGGATCCTAAGGCCGAGGCAAGATGTGTTTCATGACGCAGAAAACCGGCGTTCTACGTACGAACTCAACGTACAGTGAGCGGGCTAGATTTTGCATGAATACACCGACCATTAATGGGTTAAATAAACGTTTCGGTCCCGTGCCGGAGTAGAGATGCCCATTTCAGACAGCATCTGCTCGTTTGAGTGCGGACCCGCGGCTCTTGCATGGAGAGCAGGGGTAGTTTCGAAGTTAGATGTAAAAACGAGAAGAAGTTGGCAGGTGCCCCACGGAAAACTATGCGATACTGTACCGTTACATCATTCTGTTGGGTGTGTGTCTCTACTGTAGTTGCTGGTCAGACGGTGGTTTTTTCTCTATGACCTCTACAAGATGACAGGGAATGGGGGCATATATTAAGGAGGTGCAGTGCGCACTGAATGCGTAAGGACAGCGTGAAACGATTCGGTTTCTAAAATAATAGACTTGGGGGAAAGTTGGGGCTGCAAGCTGCTTATGCGCAGCGGGAAGAAGGGAGTTGAGTCCGCACGGCTGTAGCCGCAGTTGGGTGTGTGTGTGTAAAAGTGGTAAAAGAATGAGGTGCTTTCATTAGGAGACAAATTTCTTGTACACGTAGCAACGTGTAATACGCATTGCAGAAATGCAAACGATGCAGAATTGTGGGTACAATTCTGTACTTCGAAGTAGTTAGTGAAGCGACGTGCCTTCCCCCTCTTCCATGATCGCCTCCGCTCTCGCCTCTTACTTGCACCGTCGCCTACCCTTCGAAGGGTACCCTTCCCATCGGCATATTGTGGAACACAGAGCAATTCAGAGCAAAATTTAGTCCTGCGGACCAGCGCTCGTGAAAGACTGGGGAGTTGTGGAACACCGAGGTCTCACCGCATTTTCGCTTGGTGAAGCAAACTATGGGCTGCCACACGTGTCTCCCCTGAAGCATCAATTAACACCACAGGAGACTCTCCCTGAGGGAGAGTCTCTCCATGACAGAGTCACTCCTACTACTATCTTACAGTACTACTGTCTGTCAGACAGACAGTAGTACTGTAGTACTGTAGTAGGAGTCGGCTGGAGGTGACAGCGGCGCTGAATGACACGTGTACCATGTGTACACAAGGAGGTGCCATATTCCCTCCGATTCTCGAACATTGCATAGATACTGTAATTTACGTTCGTGCCTGTCATGAATCCCATGTACAGCTCCCACACTGTGACACGCGTACACGTATCACAGACACCAGCTTCCCAGGCAGCACCGCCGTCCCGGCACCGCTCTCTTACTACAACTTTTTTTGTTGTTTAGCACTACAAAAAAACAAATATTCAGTAAAACTGGATCATCGTTCCTTGCACCACAGTGCCTTGCACCACAGTGCCCACGGACGGGAGATCCCTTCCATTCCCCACTGCTACACTGTAAAATGAAATCATACATCTTCCGTGTCAAGACGACCCAGAGTAAAGCGACATGTTGAAAACCCTCGCAAGGCACTTCTCCTTGCCCCCACACGCATACAACAACCATATAACCCTTCCTTCTAGTAACTTTATAACGGCAGTGTTCTCCAGGAATGGCCATACGTACCTCTTGTCAATCGAACAAGTATACGGGCCTCAAAAAATAACACCACCACCCAAGTACAGTGGGATGTCAAACTAAGGGGGGGAGGTGCTTTGCTGGCGTGAATTGCAAGCGACCTTTCGCGAGTGACAACAGCACGCACGATGCACCACTCGTCCTCCTTGATGCATACGTAGCTTTAGCATTTCGTCACCTGCCAGCGCCAGCTACTTGCTCTCTTCAAACGCGCTACCACCAGCCCGCAGCTACCCATTCAACGTGTCCCCGCTCCCCGCAGCATCGCCCATACACAAACTCCACCACGCACATTTTCTTTTCACAACAAGACATTCAGAGAGACACACAGCTATGCTTTTCAGATCCCGCTGCTTGCCCCGCAAGCGCAAGTAAACGATACGCCGTATGACAGAATTGCATTGCATTCATCGGCGCCGGAGGGATCGCGTGGAGAACAAGCGGCCAGGAAAATGAACCACAAAGCGAAGGGAGAGAGCACAGGTATGTATCATACTGTACCACCTATATCTTTCCGTTCATTTACGTGGCAGGTGTGCTTGCTTCATGCCGGAAACGGCGCCAAGGGACCTACAACCTAAGTTTATCACACTCGAGTCTTGTGCCCGGTGTAGCCTGAGCGAGCCGCCCCGTCACCACATGGAAAGCAGTACTGTATTGTCTCTTCTACTTTGGGCGTCTGCCACACTTCTTTTCGTGGGGCTCTGCCATTAATGACTGCCTTACTAATGAGGATTCGCTCTCGCAGAACAAAAGGCCGCCGTAAAAAACCTTCACAGCCTTTCACCAGTCCACCGTTATGGAGAAAGTTGTCTGGAGAAATGCTTCTTCCGAAAGCTCAAACGGCGATTTCTACGCTGTCACCCACGCTGGTAAGAACAAACATACAACATCTTGCAGAACAGAGCCCCGTACTCATACATTCATTCGAAGATGCTGTACAGGTCTGTTCAAGGAGTGCGGACGCTCACCACAAGTTGAGATAGACCGACGTGTATGAGAAGCAGTTCGAAATTATAGATGAATCTCTTGTGCTAATCTACAAGTTTTAGACGGTAGCACGTAGAAAGCCAACAGCGGAAACTCGAGAGTGGGAGCACAAGCAAGCCTTTTCGAGTGGAAGTAGGGCCTTACATGCTGCAGGTGCCCCCGTTATCGTGTTGCACTCCAAGTCAAGGGGCTATCGGACTGGGGAACGCTCGATGGGGTGGTGATGATGAAAATTTTTCGAATGGATAGGATAGCTAGCGTACATTGCTCGAGAAGCATTATATCTTTTGATAGTATGAAAATCTCTCGTGTCCCGCAGTCGGGATAGAAGGACCCTTTCAGGTGACAACTTGTCATCTTGCTAACGCCAACAAAGCAATATATCAGCCAACCCGTACCACCAATCTGACATCAGCGCATCTCCACTATGCCTCCGTGTTCCTCGTGTAGGGTGTCTCTTCGAAGGTTGGTAAACTTTCGTCAACTCACAACTCACTCAACTGCATTGAGTAACATCACACGGGATTGCTTGGGAAAGCCAGCCGATATTGTGCCCTCGTGTCAGATAACGCCCTTACTCGCTATGTGCAGCTGCTGGCGAAGACGCCCCCCATAGTGTCGTCTGATACGGGCATGTTAATGTACCTTTTCAGCGTAGTCTTTGGGGCAAACGTGGCTGTAATCTATTGAATTCTAGCCGTATACCCACTGAACACTTCTCACCACGTGTCCTGATCTTTCGACTCTCCCCTGCCCAACAAAGCCATTCTGTTTCTTCTTCCTTGAATTAGTAAACCTCTATTCTGCTCCAAATCTGAGAGAGTGCACCATATTCCACAGCGCCGCGGAGGTCAACATACTAAACCGGAGGTCACTTTCTGTAACTTCAAATCAAACACGTAGACCTCGCTTTCCTAAAGCACCAAAAGTTGCAACCCTATGGCATCTGAGCCGGATCACATTGCGCTATCCAAAACACCAAAGTGACTCAGAATGAGAGACTGTTTTCGGGGCACCTACCAGTATGGTCCCAGATTCACGTTGCAAAGAAGTGTATGGGGCTCTTTGATTCAACACATATCAACATTATCCTTTCTCTTGAGTAAAGACAGAAGTGCAACATGCATCTCTGCCAGATATTTTCTGCCGCAAGTTTGCTTGAGATACCATGAGCGCCGCAAGAGGTCCTCCTCCAGACGCACTGCCTACAATCTGGGGCGAGTCTGCCGGTTCTAACGCATCGATTCCCTTCTATATAAACCCAGCTTCAGCTCACGCCATGCACTTCATATCCCTCCCACCACCACAGCGAGAAGCAACGTTCCTGCATTCGACACACCCCGGCCATGAAGTCTTCATTTCTCTTCGTCCTTCTCCTGTCCGCCTTCGCCCTCACCGTGAGCGCGCAATGTGGCCGCACCTGCCGGTTCCGTTTCTGCCGCGCCGACGGCTCTGACCCCCCGAGCCTGCGCCCCAAGGGCGCGAGGATTCTGCTCCGCGGGCCGGACTCGTCCCGCACCGGCTTCATCTGCCGCAGCTTCCCGAACGGCCGCACGCTCGGTACGATTAAGAGAACGGGCGCGGCGATCCTGGAGAACAAGGGAAACGTCGCCATCAACAGATGGAGACCGACTGGGCTCTCCCCTCGCTTTCCTAGGAACCACTTCCGCCTCTACAACATCCCTTTGCAACTGGACGAATCCGCCTGGGACGGCGTCCCAGCCGCGGGAACCAAGAGGACTTCCTCGACGATCTTTGCGTGCGTCTGCCCATCACCAACTACGACATCGTCAACAACGACGGCTCCGTGTTCCGCACGATTGCATCGTCGAACCCGAGGGATTGCATCTCGTTCCGAACGGTCAACCGGCCGGTGCTCGTGGAAGTGGCGTGGGATTCTTCCGACGACTTCGACCTCTCCGTGGAAGGACCGCCGGGGTCTAATGGGTTCCGAATCAACGACAATTTGGTGGCCGCGTGCGGTGGCCCGCCCGCCGGGAAGGAAACTGTGACGTTTACCACTAAGGTTTCGGGGACGTACACGATCAAATTATTCCACTTTAACAACTGCTTCAACGCGCGCACGCGGTGGAGAGTAAATGCGATCGTGGAGGGAGTCAGGGTGCTGCAGAGAAGTGGTCGCTCGAATGTGGATGGCAGGGAGGTTCTTGAGATCACTTTCACCATCCCGTAAGGAGGCGTACCGAATTGGTAACTGTAAGTAGATTCCCCTTCAACCGTGGCTGTCACGACATCTACCAGGGTAGCAAAGACGCGCGCGTCAGCGGAGTGGTGTCTTGGCAGGAATGCTTCTGGGATTGCTCCAGCAGGTGTTTTTAGAAGATATAGGGATAGCCACGAAATAAAATGCTTGTCGCGAAGATTCCTGATCACAAGAGTTGTCTGCGGAGGGTAGAGCGTGTCTCTAAGACACAACTAAGATTAGTTGGCAGAGATGCTTCCTGTACGGAAGACACGGAGTTGAAAGAGCCTGTAACTGCGTACCGTAAAGACAGATCAGGGTGCTAACCAGAAAGCACCAAGAGCTGTGATCAGGTGTACCGTTGTGTTTTTGGGGCTTTTTCGGGGATAGATGCATTTTACAGCAAGACAAATGATATGTGGCAGCCTGCCACATATCATTTGTCTTGCTGAAGTAAGTTGGCTGCCAGTGGCAGCCGCTGCCACTGGCAGCCAACTTATTTCGGGGCTGCATCTCAACCAGCCGCACCCTAGGATACAGTATGATACAAAGTCAAACAATCTCTCTGACGGCCAATCCAAAAGTAGTGACGATTCAGTCTCAGAACCCTAGCCATACAGCGCCATGAATGAGAGGCGAGATTTACATCTGTTCTCTGACAAGGCCGCCGGATGACATGTGATGGCGACGGGATGCATGTGCAGCATGACTGTCCGCGGTGTCTATGCCAGGAAGGACGGAAGCTGTCGATCTACCCAAGGGTAGTCCCGAGACAAACAAAGAGAGATAGAGAACGGAAAAGTTTACTCGGGCTACCAGACCGCGCTCACCCTTGTACTGTATGCAGTGGTCACTAGCTTCGTCCGACACCGCCCCTCCATCGTCACACCTATTAGGCCCTGCCGCTGCTGTGGTGGAAGGGGCGGTCAGCGCCGGAACCTCGGCAGGCCACCGAGGGGCAAGCACAGTAGAGAACGACTCTTGACTATGCTATATTCCGACCACCCAGAGGGCGCAATGTCACAGAGCGGCCGTCGCCGCCTACCTAAAAAGCCTACCTAAATAATAGTGGGTTTGCACCTGAGTGCCATCTGTAGTCCAATATCCTTAGTATCCTTCCCCTCTCATACCTCAACCATCGCCACATCAACAGAAGCCGCGGTTTCTGGTGATAGATTGTTTTGCGATCATTCCTATTCTTTGCCGTCCTATGCAAACACGCCCAGACTGATAGATGTGTACATTTCTCCGCCACATAACATCTCATCACCTGCATATTATTGAACTCCACCCATTGCAAAGCACAGCGCGCACGAGCTGACGCGCACGAGCTGATGACATCAAAGCATCTATCAGCGCCATCAAGCTGGCAATGTGCCGTCACACATGGCATAGCTGTCCTCCTGCAATGCATGCCAAAATTTGGCTCTTACAAAGTCAAAAAGCCCTACTCTGCTCCCCCACTTCATCCGCCTTTCCAACCCCATTCAGATTCGTTTTACGAAACCTTCTGAAACGCTCTACATATTGCATTGTGCCGTACTATTTCCAAAAAGCTGCTTCCGTTCATCATCGTCCTGCTGGATGTACAGAGAAAATAGTCTTTTGCACATCTTGCTAATGTCATAAGGCGCGCCTACCGTGCATCACATTCCGCGAACACTATCTACTTCGTTAATTTTGGCCCTTTTAGCCAGGGGGCGTCCTTGGTATTTTAAGCGTCATGTCTCCCAAAACATTTCTCCGCCTCCGCCTCCGCCTCCCCTTTATTAATAAATCCTGCTGGTACAGTATCAGCAGGATTTATTGCTTTTCTCGCTTTCAAAGCTTTTTCCTTTCTAATCGAATCCTTCTTCCATGTTTGATCCCCATGTCCGTTACAAAGCATACTTGCGCGATCCGTAGTCTACATGCATGATTGCCATGGGGTCCTCGAAGGGAAAGTCAAAACGCCCATTTCCAGCTCTTCTCTGCCTTTAGTTTCTACTTTCGCGGAGAACAGCATCCGCTATCCATCTCATGATATCTGCGTCCTGACTTCAAGTACCGGAAGTGCTCGATTCTATTCCAACATTCGAGTCTCATACTTTAACAACAGCCCTACAGCCACTGGGGGTTATTTCTTCTTTGTTAATGTCCCCTCCATGGGCTATTTCGCAGTCACATTTACGAGTATAAAGACAGTCCTCAACTCAAACCTGACCAACTCTCTGCACCACAACACAAACAACCAACGCTTCGGTGCAGCACTCATCACATAGCAGCCATGAACGCTTCATTCCTCTTCGTCCTACTCCTGTCCGCTCTCGCCTTCACAGCGAACGCCCAATGTAGGAACGTATGCAGGTTCCGCTTCTGCCGTTTAGACGGCTCTATGCGTCCGAATAATGCCCGCAGTATTCTACGCGGGCCTGACTATTCCCGCACAGGATTCATCTGCCGTAACTTCCCCGGTGGCCGAACGCTCGGAAGGATTCGATCCACTGGCACTGCCCTCATTCAATCTGGCTCAACCATCACTCCCATCAATAAGTTCAGGCCTAATGGACTCAGCCCCGCCTTTCCGAGAAACTACTTCCGCGTCACCCCTCTCACATTCCAGCGCAACCGTCAAGGTGTCGCTCGTCGTGCCTCTGTCGGCAATCAGGAGGACTTCCTCGATGATCTTTGCGTTCGTCTTCCCATCCGCAACTACAACATTGATAACACTGATGGCTCCGTCTTCCGCACGATTGCTACTTCAGATCCCAGAGATTGCATAGCATTCCGACCCGTTGTCCGCCCGATCGTTGTGGATGTGGCGTGGGATTCCTCCGATGACTTCGATCTTTCCGTTGAAGGCCCTCCTGGATCTTTGGGAGGCCGTGTCAATGACAACTTGGTGGCCGCGTGCGGCCTGTTTCCGGCCGGCAAGGAAGCTGTGTCCTTCGAAAACATGGTTCCAGGGAAGTACACTGTAAAGTTGATGCACTTCAATAACTGCTTCAATAAGCGTACGAGGTGGGTGGTCAACGTTGTCGTGAATGGGGTAACGATTCAACGCAGGTTGGGCCGGTCGAATGTGGATGACAGGACGGTTCTCGAGCTCGAATTCACTGTTTAATAAAAATAAGAGAAGGCACATAGTCCTAGTACCGTTCTCTTTATTTTTTCCCTTTCCATGGATACTGTTGTGAACTGTAATGAACGATGAGTAGACATGGACGAACTTGGCCATGTACTTCAGTTAAAGACATTTCATTTTGTTTTAGTTGTTAGGGCCAAAGCTGTATTGCCCTGGCAGTTATGCATGGAATATCGCTACTCAAAATGACTATGTACCGCAAAAAATGCTGGTTGTATGCCCGCAGCGATCGCACGTAGTTACGACAAAAATGCGCGCCTTGGTTTTAATGGAATGCCACGTGATTCAACAGTACCCTCGAATGCAGACTGACTCAGGCATTACATGTCAACAGAATACCTTTGCGGAATTCGCCTTGCTCCCTACTTCCATTGTGGTTACTGTACTGCTTCAAATCTCATCTAGACATACTGTACGGTATTAAGTTTCGGCAGTGTGCTGATGAGTCGATATCTCTGTTTATCTATCTATCTCTTCCTCTCTCGCTTAAGGCTAGTGGCCTCACGCCGTCGTCATTGAAGGGCTGTGAGTCGTGCAATACGTGTGGACGTGTGTGCGTGTATGGTTATCATCACAGGCAGCAAGACGCACTGCCAACAATAAAACCAAAGTATGCTCAATTGCAACTGCCGCCTAGGCCAAACCGTATCATTCATACTGGGTCCCTGTCCTTTTACGAATATGCTACTATCACGATCCTACTCTGATTCACCTGTTGTGTTGCTACTGCCTTTGTCACCCGGGAGCTGACAGTCCACCTCTAAATAGGAGACAAATTGTACAATTGCACACTTTTGTCTATGTCGGGAGTGCCAAATGATGTCCGTGATTAGTCAGGTATCTGGAAATAATCAAGACTCTCCTGAACCCTCTAGAACAATTATCCTTCCTCCCTGTCAGACCGCACAGGACAGTCTGTCCTTCAGGATAGACTTATAACTAGCGAGCGACGACGAGTAAACGAGGAGGTATCGGTCTTCTGTTCACACAGGTTATGGGCACCTTTTGCTACCTTGCATAATTCAACCTTCCCCGCTTCACGATCGGAACCCACCACGACAAGAACAAACTGATCCCTCCCAACGCGGAGGAGCCCCAGGCTAACCCCATCTCAGCCCCTCACCTACATCCCCCCACCGACAAATCGTACGACATCAACACACAACACGACAAACCACGACCACCCACCGACAAATCCTACCACATCAACTCAACACACGACAAACCAAACGACAAACTACACAACAAACTACACGACAAATCACACTACATCTCACATCACAAACAACACTCACCAGGACATACGCACCATGGAAAAACGACCCGACATCCCCCGCCTCGACCCGACCAACTACGGGCCGTGGATCGTAGCCACTCGAGCAGCAGCACACACGATCGACGCCATCGAGCACATCATCAGCAACCCCATTCCTCCACAAGACCCCACCGATCTAGCAACATTCAACCGCAACAAGAACTACCTACTCGGCAAGCTGATCACGTCCATACCAGCCCACATAGCCAACCTCATACTCACCCCCACAAGCGATCCAACTCCTTACGATCTCATACAGGCAGTCACTTCTCACTTGGACACAACCAACGCTTCGGACCACAAATACCTAAAGCAGCTAGCCGAGCAGACACACTTTCTGCCCGGTATGACTCTTGATCAGTACATCAAGGCCCATGAGCAGATCAGAACCAGAATGATCGCAGCACGGTTCCCAGAAATAGCCGACCCCAAAACAACAGTAGAGTTCCTCATCGACGGCCTGCGGTTCAACCCCGCCACGGCCGCGATTGGCAGCCAACTCATTGCCCTGGACCGCAACGACACAAAAGACTTTGTGCACAAGTTCAATCGGATGGACCTCTACCGGCAAGCGGCACAACTACGCATCTCTCAAATGCACGGCGACGCCGGAGGCTCAAAATTTTTCAGAAATCCAGCCTCGGCCCCTCAACGCTACAACCGCTTCCCCCGCCGAAACCTCCCTGTACCATCTAATCCATGCAGATTCCACATGTCACGAGGCGTCTCCCACCCCCGGCACACCGACGCCGAGTGCAATCACGCAGCACACCCCCGCCATCATACCCGTCAACCCGTACGCACCAAGCCGTACCAGACGGCACGGGGCGCTCAACGTCAAGACGATTACACAAACGACTCGGATATGGAGCTGGACGACACAACCGATCACAGCCTGCATCAGGACTACTGTACGTACATCCTCGACTCGGGCGCCCACCCAACACACATGGCCAACCTCGCCTCCATACAGACACCACAACCCATACAGCACAAAACAAAAACCGCAACTAACCAAATCGTTAAATGCACGCATGCCGGACAGACGACGATCAAGACGAATAAGGGACGTGCACTCAAGATCCCCGCTGTTGTATCCCCAAACATAACTAGCAACCTCCTCTCGGTGCGATCCATCACCAAGACCAGAGGCAACGTCCTCTTCACGCCCAACGCTGCATACATACTCGACAAGCGCTCCCGTGGAACTATCCTAGGCACAGCCCCATGGGACCCCGCCATCAACGCGTATGCATGGAAGAGAACAAAGAACGCACAGGCAAGGGGAGCACGCACAATCCCCGCCCCGAAACCCAGATCCAAAACACCCACGCCGTCGTCAAAACACAGTTCACAAACCCCTTCAAAAACCCCTGCCAATCCGCGCCTCATCGCGACTCGAGCCCCTCCTCCCACTACAACAAAAAGGAAATCCATCACACCATTACCTGTAAGCTCAATACCGGCACCCCCCATCCCACCGATCCCCTGTAAGGCCACAGACAAGATCTTACACCACTGGCATTTAAAGCTCAACCATGCCCCCCTACGCAAAATACAAGACATCGCCAAATCGAGGAAGCTACACGGCCTTCCACCCGCTCTCGCCGCCACCCAAAACCGACTGTCATGCTCCGCATGCGCACACGCGAAGCAACGACCGGCACGCCATTCTCCCACTCAACACCACTATGACACGGGCGAATATCTAAGTTCTGACACATGCGGCCCTATCCATCCTCCATCCAACCACGGCAACCACCATTTCCTAACGTACATAGATGCGGCTTCCAGATACGTCATGCTGTATTTTCTCAAATCCCGAAGCGAAGTAGGAATCATCATGCCGCAATTCTTCGCGCTGCTGAAGCAACGCAACCGCCTTCCTCGAACCTACCGCACTGACAACGCACGCAAATTTAAATCCAACCACGCGCTGCACACCTACGCCTCCCTCGGTATCAAGTACGAGAATAATACCCCGCATCAGCCTTAGGAAAATTCTATTGCCGAGAGAATTAATCAAACTCTCATGAACGCCGCCAGAGCCAATCTCCACCACGCCAACCTACCGGACGCCTATTGGGAGGATGCAGTACGCGATGCGGCTTATAAATACAACAGCATACCTCATCGGGCCACCGGACAAGCCCCATACACACTATGGCACAAACAGAAAGCACAGCCGAAGCAGCTACTCATCTTCGGACAATTAGGCACAATACCTATATACGGCACAAAACGCAAACTAGACACACGCAGCCGAGCAGTACGATACATGTACTCCAACAGCCCCCACTCGATCACAGTGCAAGATACACACACAAGCAAGTACCACATCACACGCACGCAAGACTTCCGTCCGTACACAAAAACACATGACCCTACAGTGACCACAACAGCCGTCCTCCGCACTTCACCAGCAGCAACACGCGGAACCAGACTACAACTCACCACACCCGACCCCCGTACCAGACAAGAAGCCAGAACCTACCCTGACGCTGCCGAATGGGAACATGCACACGACACAGAGCTCGATAAGCTAGACGCGACAGAAACCATCAAATGGATACCAGACCGACAGATCCCCATACATGAGAAGCTCATACCACTCACAATGACATTCAGTTACATTCGGGATCACACCGGTACAGTAACCGACCGCAAGGCGCGCTGCGCAGC